CACAAAGCTCCCTAAGAAGCCACTAGGGCCACCGTAATCTCCTCACGCCCTCACACAATGCGAGATGTCGTGATTCCACTATTGGAGCCCTTGAAGGCGGCAACCGGACCTTTACAAACAAGATTGGGGCAATCTCCACAACACTTGGAGGCTCCCAACAATACCGCGAAGCTTCACCACAATGCAGTATGGCTTCGAGGTGACCTCAACCGTCTAGGGTGCTCAACACCCAAGAGTAACAAGATCCGCTAGGGATAAGTGGGGGGAATCAAATATCCTGTGGTGGAAGTGTAGATCGGGCACTTGTCACCCAATCCCAAGCAAATCAACAAGTTTGATTGGCTAGGGAGAGAGATTGAGTGAAAATGGAGCTTGGAGCAACAATGGAGCTTATAGATGGAAGAGGTAGTCAACTAGAGGTAGAAGACACCCCTTATACAGTCGTGGAAAGAATCCAACCGTTATCCACATGTTCAGCCCGCGACACACGGTACTACCGCTCCAGGGGAGCGGTACTACCGCGAAGCTGTGTGGTACTACCGTGGCTGACCACAGTACTACCGCGACAGCAGCACATGCTGGAACTAGCCTGACAAGGGGGCAGTACTACCGCTTGCGCGGTACTACCGCACCCACTTGCGGTACTACCGCTAGGCAGGAAAGTCACGGCCTGGGAAGCGCGCGGATGAAATAAATTACATCCATGCCTACTTCCGCTGAAATAGAGGTGGTACAAAAATCCGACGCGGTACTACCGCTCGCGAGGCGCGGTACTACCGTGCGGGCGCGGATGTAAAAAATTACATCCGCGCCTACTACCGCGACACTGCGGTACTAGGTAGGAGGGCCACGGTACTATGACTCCTAGGGAGCGGTACTACCATGGGCCCCCGCGGTACTACCGCGCTGGATGAGCGGTACTACCGTGGAGGGCGCGGATGTAAAAAATTACATCCGCCCCTACTACCGCACCGGAGCGGCACAAGGCCTGGGAGCCGCGGTACTACCGCTCCAGATGAGCGGTACTACCGTGACACACAGCGGTACTACCGCGTGTACTTGCGGTACTACCGCAAGTACAGCAGTAGTCGTCAGATTTCCGCACAACCAAGATAACAAGGGGAAGCTCCAAAATGCAGGGAAAGGAGGGACAAGTGTATGTGTTGATTCCACCCAAACCTTTCCGACGCGGACCCCCTCCTAATAGTACGGCTCCCCTACGACTCAAATCCATCAAAGAGAAACGTAGAACAACGCCGACTTCAAAAGTCTCCGAGGGGCACCGAATCGTCTCGTGCCTAGAGATGAATAACCTGAGAAACTCAAGGCACACGATTAGTCCGCAAATGCATTGTCATCAATCACCAAAACACCTGAGGGATAAATATGCCCTTACAGAGCGTTTTGGGGATAGAGGGAGTAAAACTTTTCCCTACTGCAATGAGTGGCAAAGTTTTGGCTCGTTTGGCAAACTAACTCCAAACTAAACTAGCATTTCATGTCCTGCGAAGAAGTTAAGAGTCTTGTTCATGCTAGTTGGGGAATATTTGTAGTTTGTATTTGTGGTGAGATGGAAGGCATGGAACACACAAATATCCATTTCTGTACTCGAGCTCATCTGATCTCGGTCAACAGTAAAAAAAAGACTAGAATATTTTTTCAAATTTTTTTGATTTTGTTTGCATGGAAGATGTTTGAGTGTGTATGGCCCGTGCTAATTTTCAACAGGTTCATCTGAGTAGCTCTCAGAAAAAAAGATCAGTCTGAATAGTACATGAACAATAAACTTTTTTACAGACCCAATTATTTTCTAAGAGCTACTCAGATGTCCGAATGCACTGAGAACTGGCACAGACATCACACACTCAAACATCTTTCATGAAAAAAAATTCTCTTTGAATTTATAGCAGTGCAAAAAATATTTATAGAATAAACATAATTTGTTCAAAAGACACTGAATAAAAAAAAAGTCCCGAACATAAAATGGCCCACGGAAGCCCATTAGACACAGAGCCTACCGTAGAAAGACCAAAAAGCAAAACATTATTATCTGGGCCAGGACAACCTAGGCCGTTGCCCATTGCTAGATTTGGTCCATTTAGCTCCAGAAGGCCCGTCTGTGTCGCCGCTCCAGCGCCAGCTGTTGGATCACAATCCCCCAAAATAAAAAAGCTGTTGGATCACAATCCCCTAAAAAAAACTGTTGGATCACAATCAACTAAAAAAAGCTGTTGAATCACAATCGAACGGGCCAGAAGAACAAAATCAGCAGCCAGTGCCCAAGACCTTTGTCTCTCCCCCGACGAGATCTGTGATTCAAGTGCGCCGGCCCGGCGACCCAATCCATGGCATCTCCGTAGCTGCGTTCGGCGAAGAAGCGTGTGATAGACCAAGTCTTGCCCGCTCCTCGGTCGACCATGGCTGCCGGCGACGCGTGCATGGAGTCCGGTGATGAGGTTGGGGAGGCGAGCGGCGGTCAGTCTCCTCATATTTAGAAGGCTTCTGGTCTTTGTCTTAGTCAGTCTGCTGATTGCTCAATTTAGCCAGCAGGTTCGTGAAACTATACACTGTTGAAATGGGAAACATCGTCACAAATTACAGATGGAAAATACTGCTCCCAAAATAAACCTATGGGTTTCATATGCGACCGTGTGGCCTTTTGTTGTCAAACTATAATTGGCAAAGGAAAACCGATAAGAATCACAAACTTAATGGCGTATTTAGCAGGCGCGTTATTTCACCAACTCATATTTTGCGGAAAATGGATGACAGCAGATGCATCGTCATTCTTCATTTACAAACAAGCACACACACAGTGGCAGCAAGAATTGATTTTTCAACCGGGCTAACGGTTGCAGCATGTAAACACCTCTATGTAGCGGTGCAGCTTGCTACTCCCCTCGATAACACTGAAGCCCCGAGACCAATCCGCTCCTCTTACATTCGCAGTGGAGAAATGTTAACATCCCTCTCAGCTTCACATTGCACCATATCAAAGGCCACCACCCAGTAGAGAACTTGGAGAGCTGAACGTGATGGCTAATTGCAGCATGACAGTACCTATATGCAGCTTAAGAAGCAGCAGCATCTCCCGAACTGAGATAAAGTACATTTCATCAGCTGATGCATGGTCGCAAGCTGAAAATGATACCATGACAACAACAAAAAGGAGTTGTAAATGAAGTGACCAGTTATTGGTGTGATCACAGTTTATACATTACAACATTCTCATCAATTGCAGAAGCATGCACCACGCTCAGATCTCATCTGTCAGAGTTCTCCAGCTCCTCCTAGATATCAAGATTCATTACATTGTGCAATGCAACAAAGTGGATTATTAGAAATAAATGTTTAACGAAAAAGCGAATCAGAAGACCACGACAAAGTTTACAGTATGAGTAAGTCCTTACATGTCTAGCAGATAAGTGGAATGAACGGCTGTATCATCACCAGCAACTAGTGCAAACGAGCAACACCTCCTGTTGCAGAGAGACAAACATCGTCAGAAACGCAAACTGAATCAACTAATCAAAGCATTCAACCATGGTGTTCCAGTTAAGGTGCCTGGCGACCTGAGCGTAAGGTAGTACAGGAGCATGTAGCCGGGGTCGATCGAGATGAGCGAAGAACCGAACAATGGACCGGAGAAGAGATCGATCATCCACTACAACTAGAGACTCGTCCTCGAAAGCTCTC